AAATACAGCGAATTATTATTATTATAATAATTACAATAAAACGTTTTACATCGCAATACAATAAAAAAGTTTTACATCGACAAAAACTTTATGTTTCAGAACTATAAAAGGCGATGGTATTATTTTACATCGCGACACAAAAACTTTCATGTTTCAGAACTATAAAGGTCCTTCTTCAGGCGATGGTATTGCAATAGAAACATTTTACATCGTGACACAAAAACTTTCATGTTTCAGAACTATAAAGGTCCTTCTTCAGGCGATGGTATTGCAATAGAAACATTTTACATCGTGACACAAAAACTTTCATGTTTCAGAACTATAAAGGTCCTTCTTCAGGCGATGGTAGATTGCATTTTACATCGTGACACAAAAAATGTTTCAGAACTATAAAGGTCCTTCTTCAGGCGATACGCAATAAAAACATTTTACGTCGTTGTCTATTATAATAAAAAAAAATATTATAATATACATAAGTTTCCATGACTATAATTTACTTCCCCAGAAAATATATTTTCCTGGTTCATGAGGTCACACCTCAAATTACAAATGAATTTGGTTTCTTTTATTTTTAATACAAGTTTTTGAAGGATAGCTTTACTAAACCCATCATTACTTTACTACTACTACTACTACTACTACACACACGCACGCACGCACGCACGCACGCACACACGCATATATATATATATATATATATATATATATATATATATATATATATACCAGGTGTAACAGCAAAAATGTACAAATCTTGTTACAGCATAATTGTCCCTCTTACAGAATGTTTAATATCTAAAAAAAAAAAAGAAGAAAAAAAAGAAAAGAAAACAAAAGAAAACAAAACCAATAAACTAACTGAGTTTCATTTTTCCAGGTTTTCAGATAAGGTGTTTCGCCATTTTGATACCTTTTGTCGTAGAAATCACGGAAAAACCCTTTGAGCTATTCAGTTAGAAAGAAAACAGGTTAAAATCGTTTTGTGTCAGCCCCACTGTCTTCTGAAACTGACCAATGGTGAGAAGAAAATATCATTCGCGCCGTCAGTAATTTTAACAACATTCATTCTGGTTTCCATCTTCAAAGTCAGTTCAAGGAATATTGTAACCTAGACAGGGTTACTGAATGAGGAATAACCAAAACGGGGGTTGGAAATGAAATGGTAATCTTTATAACAGGAACAAAATACAATACTCGCCAGCGGCGTGAAGTAGGTAAATCACTGCTATTGGTGGACTACATAGACAGCATATTACAGTAGTGCCCAACGTATTTATGAGGGATGAACATACCCATTAGTGTTCATACGTACGGAATATAACAAGAACTACCAAGAGAACGCTAAATAAGTTCAAAAAAGAGGGAACAGTAGAAAGGAGAACTGGATCGAGAGGTCACAACAACAAGAGGGATCATCATTTCATCTTAAAGCTCAAGAGGTCAATTAGAAAAGATCCAACTCAATCCATAAGACGCTTGGCACGTGAGAGGGGAGTTTTATCTATGACAGTCCAAATAGCTTCGAAAAAAGACTTGAGAATAAAAAGAACGTGAAACGTGTGAACATGTGAGGCAACTTGCTACCCCAGAACAGAAAATTAGAATGTTAGAGAGATCATCTTGAATAAATTGGAAAATGATCCTGGAATTATATATATATATATATATATATATATATATATATATATGTGTGTGTGTGTGTGTGTGTGTGTGTGTGTGTGTGTGTGTGTGTGTGTGAACTTTATTTTGATCCTTCATGAGCTTCCAATCCTATGCTATGATTAATTAATGATAAACATCTCATTTTCATTTATGATCGATTTCATCACGATTCCTCTGTTAAGCTTGGAGAGTAATTATACATTCATATTGCTCAAAGTTGAGTTAATTACTGTTATAAAGCCTCGGAGAATTCCAGTAATATATCTTTTATCATTTCTAAGATACAACGGTTCAAATACTTTAATCTAACAACTGGACAATTTTGCTGTTACACGATTTGGATAATTTTAATTTATTATATATATATATAATAAAAATAAGGTATGCTATATTCATGGGTAAAAGTGCTCAAAGTCAGGAACCGTGTATGAAAATAAAATTGTAGACATTGTTCACTGTTGTCAACACTGAGAGTCAACGGTTTGTTTCATGATTGAATCTTTGTGTTGGCTCGACTGAGCCAACACACATGGCCTGAAGATTGTGCATAAGTATGACACGGATTGTCACCTCTCGATGTTGACCCCAGTGTCCACTTTTATATATGTATATATTTTGTTTCTACCTAGAGACTCCCTCGCTCTGTTCATCATGGCGTTTGATCCCTCGACTGATTGAATATGACTGACATAGCTGACCGTGGATGCTCCTGAATATATTGAAAACGTGTTCCTTTGTTTTGTCAAGACTTTCAGGCAAAATGATATCATTTTTTCTTTCTCGAAGTTTTTGTGCTTTGACCAATCAGAGCCACAAGATTCGCTTGAGAAAAGAATTTACCGCTATGGCCAAAATTAATCTTTACTGATTAAAAAGAAGCCTTTCCCAAAAACAAATAAATAGAAATCTTTATCTAATGATCGAAATGAATGAAAATCTGTAGCTGCTAATTCTGGAGAGTATGGATGGCGTAGAAGAACCTCCTATGCAAATTATATTATTCCTTTTGGGATTTGTTTTGAAGAATGCACCCTTGCAGTGCCATGCTATAGAATAACATATTTTATAATTACCAAATAGGATACTTTCAATATAATGCTTCGTTTACACGATCAAACTGTTGGCAATAAACATCTGTAGTGATGGTTCTTCCATGTTCCATTAGCTCATAATGGACGACACATTTCATATTTCAGCAGTCACAAAGTAAGGACCTCTGTTGACGGATTCCTGATTTTGGTATTGGCATTGGTTTCGCATTTTCTGATAACCACTGTATTTTTTTCCTTTTCTGTTGATATACAAAACTATTTTCATCACTTGTAACTATGCGATGCCAAAATGAAAGCATTCCTGGTTAAAAATTCATTGCAATTCGCTTCTCAATCGAAACCTTATGATGAACCTACATTCTCTCTTTGCAAAGTTATCGTAATTTGTTTCAGACATTTGTGGAACATGACAGATGACATTTTTTCCCACCAAATCTCAAGTGCATTGATGCGGATCTAATTCAACAGTCTCCTTTAAAACGTCTTTATTCAGAGCAGCGGCTTGTCCGATATGTCATGATCATCAAGCCTTTTAAACCACAGTTGATATGTACGAGCCTCCATTTCATTCGTATGCACTACAAACACGTTTTAAATGTCTCTGTACTACCATTTCTAAATGCATATAAAAAGCAATGGCGAAAATAGTGTTTTTTTTAGGTTTAAACTCTGAATGGATTATCATATACATATATATTTTATGAAATGGATTAACTCCGACATATTTTTATTTTGTTTTGCTTAAACGTTATTTTAGATGGATATACATATTCAAGTGAATACCCAGTTTATTTATTTAAATGTAATATTCAGGCAGGTTAAGTAAAAATACTGTTTAATTAAACAAACAGAGCATGTCAGTCAATTATGTGCCATGCGTGATACATGTTTAGGCGATCATGTATCTTTTGATGCATGACTGACGAGGCAGATTTTTTTTTTACCGCGGAAGGTTGCTATTTCTTTTTGTGGTAGACTAGTTGCCATCCAAGGCTATAGAACCCGGTTATTTACCCAATAATTGGAGGGAGAAGAGGATTTATACCTTTCCCAAGGTTATTAGAAAGTTAGTGAATGTAATGGATTCGACTGGAATTCGAACTCGTCTCTCCAGTTCCTCAGTCCACCGTGCTATATATTAGTGTGTTTCTCACTTCATGTAGAAGATCATTCTTTTGACTTGTTTCTTTTCAGTCATTCAATTATGCGCCATGCGTTATACACACTTAGGCGATCATGTATCTTTCGATGCATGACTGACGAGGCAGATTTTTTTTGCTGCAGTAGGTTTTCATTCTTTCTGTGGTAGACCAGATTCTGTCCAAGGCTATAGAATCCGGTCTGCCCTGGTACCCATAGCTGGTACTGAGAGAAGAAGAGGATTCATACCTTTCCCAAGGGTATTAGCACGTAAGTGAATGTGATGGATTTGACTGGAATTCGAACTCGGCTGGCCGATTCCTTAATCCGAGCTGTTATCCATTAATCCATCGTGCCTCTCCCGAGATAGTGTAATGGTTACCACTCTGGACAGAGTATTTACTCGAAAATGAGTATCCGTCCAAAATAAAACGAAGCAAAACGAATTAAAAATATGTTTTTATTATTATTATTATTATTATTATTCAATTTTCCATTGATTTTTGGTGTATACTCATTTCTTTCCGGGTCCCGACCAGAGACTTAAGGTCAGAAATGGCATCATGACATTTTCCACTGTGCGATTCAGGAAAAAAATCACACATATTTTACATAGATAATGCCCTTCGTAATGTGTGGGCTGTACTCGTGATAACAATTTTTTGTAGTTCTTTAAACTATAGGATACCAAGAATCCCTTCAATGAGTCTATTGGAATCTTTTTCCATCAATCCGTGGGATCCAGCTACAACTAGAATTTTTGATAACATCATGGGCCACATTTTGAGATTTCGATAATCAAGGTCTTTGCATTTCGATAACTTATTTGCAGCTTCAGTCGGTTCTTCTTCTTCTTCTTCTTCTTCTTCTTCTTCTTCTTCTTCTTCTTCTTCTTCTTATTATTATTATTATTATTATTACTATTATTATTATTATCTATGTATGCACGTATGTATATCAAAGGGTATAAATGAATGAAATAAACTGCAACTCAAGATTGAACACTTTAATATTCTTGAATGAATCCAGGAGCCGAACAGGATTTAGCGTAAGCAGAAAAGTTTCTTTTGGCCACGTCCTCACATAACTCGTCTAAGAGAGTACTCTTTAGGACGGTATGTTCCAAATTTGTATCTTGTATAGCCTATGCCAAAATCATATCTATCTATCTATCTATCTATCTATCTATCTATCTATCTATCTATCTATCTATCTGTGAATAAAATGCCCGACATTCGTGTGTTGTTCAAGCATTTATCAAGAACATGTTGTGTAACAGGCAAGTACCAACTATATCACAGTCACAATGTGCTGGACTGTGTTTGGAAAGTAAACGATTCCTATAACTCTAAATACATACATAAAACAATCCATACGTTCAGGTAAACTAAAAATAAAATTCATCCTTGATAATGGCTAAAACTATAGCCGAAAGCATTCGTCTAATACAAAGCATTTGGTTAATTTCTTCATAATTTACACCTGGGAGAAATTATAAGAACACATGAAATATTAAATAAAATCTTCCACGGACGTTTTTAATGAAACTTGTATGAATGAGGGATTGCTGACCAAATACACAGTTATATATATATATATATATATATATATATATATATATATATATATATATATGAAGGAATGACGGTTGAAACATTTGGTATGTGTTTTTTAGGCGTCGAATGAATTGTTTAATGTGGAAACTTGTAAAGTAACTTGCCGAAATTGAAACTGTTAATGGACTGTATACAAGTGGGTTTAAAATAAAAGCTTGGATGACAGATGAAATTCTCGACATGATGAAAAGAAGGCAAAAACAATGCCCAGGTACAGCACAAAATATAGGAAACTGCCGAAAGAAATTAGGAACAAATGCAGGATTTTCAACCATAACAATATTAGAGACATACTACATGAAATATACAACAGTGGTGATATGCTGAAAGACAAGTATTTTTTTAAGCATTACGCCCCGAGCAAGGCGTGAAGCCATTAGGATGCAGGGGGTTGCAGAAGATTTGGAGCGAGAGCAGATAGGAGTGATAGAAGAAAGGATGAGGAGAAGGATAGTGGGTAGATCAAGGTAACTGGAGATGTCGATTGACATTACATTTGAATAGTTGGAGATTATAGCTATCGGGGAAACAGTAATAGGGAAGGGTGTTCCACAGGCGAGAGGTGCGAGGTATGAAGCTATTGGAGTAGAAGAGACGGCTACATTTAAAAGTTTCTACAGTGTAAGGGTGAGAGCGGGATGCCAGCCTCGTAGGGCGCTTGAATTCATGGAGTCTGGGAACCAGTGAAAGCAGCTCATCGGAGCATTTACCGTGAAAGTATTTGTAAAAAAGACAGAGAGAGGTGACGGCGCGTCTGAGAGAGAGCAACTGTAGATGAGATGCCAGATCAGGGCCAATTATATTACATATCCGCCTCTGGATCTTGTCAAGAACTCCGAGGTAAAGGGGCACCAGACCATATATGGCAGCAATACTCCATGCAAGGGCGACTTGTTGATTTGTAGATCTGGATGATCGATTCCGAGGAGAAAAATTTCCTGGCGCGGCACAGGGAGCCAACTTTCCTTGCGGTGGACGAAGCAATTGACTCAATATATTTGTTCCATCTCAGGTCAGCAGTCAACGTGAGACCGAGCAGACGCAGAGAGTTGCTCTCAAGAATCCATTTTGAAAGCACTGCCTAAGAAGCCAAGGGCAAACGAATCTGAACTCCAGCGGACAATCAGCCTAATGAGCCCTATAACAAAACTTATCACCTGAAGAATAGTACCCGCAGTGAACTTAAATAGTACCCCGCTGTAGACTTAAACCTCAAATAGTACAAAAACAGTGCGGATCTTTTAAAGACACTACAACAAAAAATGAGATATCTAACCTCTATGCTCGGAATAATATCAGAAAGAGAACGAATACCTATGTTTATAGATTATGCCATAGCGTTTGACAAAATATGCCACAACAAATTGTTGGAACTGATAGGTAACCTCGGCATATTTGGGAAGGATATTAGAATACCCCAGAACCTATACTGGGTAAGACGTTAACCTACATCCGCGTCCTGGGTCAGACGATAAACTACAGCCAGCAGAAAGGCCTCTGATCAGGAGGTTTTGAAGAGCGTGGAACTACTTCTTAATTGCTAGCGTTCCCAGGTCCATCCGGACCCAGGGTGGTAGCACCTGTTAGGATACCAGCTATGGGCAAATAGTTAACTATTACCAACAATACTGTTTTTTGAAAAAAAATAATTACCAGCAATACAATTTTGAAGGGAAAATATTACCATAAACAGATTTTTGACAAAACAAAATATTACCAGAAATAAAAAAATGTTATCGGCATTAAATAACCCGTAAAACAAAATAAACCAGACCAATCTAAACCAAAGGATACATATTCTATTCATACGAATCTATCCTAAAAATGTTGTCGGCATTAAATAACCCATTTAGGTTGATATGCCGTAAAACAAAATAAACCAAATCAATCTAAACCAAAGAATACATATTCTATTCATACGAATCTATCCTAAAAATGTTGTCGGCATTAAATAACCCATTTAGGTTGATATGCCGTAAAACAGAATAAACCAAATCAATCTAAACCAAAGAATACATATTCTATTCATACGAATCTATCCTAAAAATGTTGTCGGCATTAAATAACCCATTGGGGCTGATATGCCGTAAAACAAAATAAACCAAATCAATCCAAACCAAAGAATACATATTCTATTCATACGAATCTATCCTAAAAATGTTGTCGGCATTAAATAACTCATTTAGGTTGATATGCCGTAAAACAGAATAAACCAAATCAATCTAAACCAAAGAATACATATTCTATTCATACGAATCTATCCTAAAAATGTTGTCGGCATTAAATAACCCATTTAGGTTGATATGCCGTAAAACAGAATAAACCAAATCAATCTAAACCAAAGAATACATATTCTATTCATACGAATCTATCCTAAAAATGTTGTCGGCATTAAATTACCCATTGGGGCTGATATGGCGTAAAACAAAATGAACCAAACCAAACCTACACTGGCAGCAAATCACTTGCATACGGATGGAAAATGAATTCAATAAATAAATAAAAAATAGAATAGGTTGTAAAACAAGAATGTGTCTTTTCACAAGATTTATTCAACTTATACAATGAGGCATTTCGGAAAGAATTAGAAGTCCTACCAGAATTCATTATTGGCGGTGAAAATCTTAAAAACATAAGGTAAGCACATAAAAAAGTGTTGATAGCAGACATAGGAAGCAATCTACATGGACTCCCACAAAAAAGAAGCGAAGAAAAGCCGGGAAAAGCATCAACTGCCAGAAGACAGAAAGCATGGTTGTTAGCAAAAGGAACAATTCAACATGCAAATTAGAAATTAGAGATGCCAAAATCAAATACAACAGAAAATGTGGAGAGCCGTGATCACCAACGTTCTGAAGGGACACAGCACATAAAAGAATAGATTATCGCGTCACGTGACTAAAATTACATTTTTTTTTCCAGTTCTTCTGAGAACTTTATAAGAGCAGTTGTACTGACCTCTTAATCATATGACCTTGACCTGATTGGTGATATGATTGGTTGGCGGGCTATTTATCTTGAAGGTACTGGGTTGGCAGTTTTCTGGTTGCTGCTTTCAGACGGGTAGGAAGGACCCGACCTCTTTGGTAGCGCTTAGAGAGACTGTTGCATAATAATGGGGTTCTTAGATGATGGGCAGTGTCTGTTATTCTTGGTCCTTTCCAACTTAAAGTTTTATCCTATGACTAAAACGATTAATAAAACCAAACCATTTTGCAAAAAAACACATAAGACCCTCAATGTTTCTCATTTGTGGTATTCACACCCATTTTTGTTGTATATAATCTTTTAGCTTTGAACGTTCTCCAGAAATACTAGCGGTTTTCAAAACTAAATTGAATTCTTCAATGTCTTGCTCACATGTTTTCCACTGAGATGATGTGCAATGATTACACCGAATCACTTGCTAGTTAAGCTGTTAGGAAAATTGATTCGCTGGGTCGTGTCACACAAATTTTCTCGTCTGTTCGCGTTTTGCACGTTTATGCATCTACCATTCATCATTTCATTGAATAGTGCTACCATATCTGGTCTGGTGCTACAGCTATGTATCTCGCGATTCTGAACAGAATCCACAGAAACGTCTGTAATATTTTCAGTCGTGACCTGGCATCTCGGTTTCAATCACTTTCGCATCGCCGGTCTTTGCATCTTTTCCATAAACAAACCAATCATATTTTCATAGCAATTGTCCTCATGAGCTCCCCACACCAATTTGGTACCTCGAACGCATGGATTCAATTGTACGACGAAATTGACTACAAGTCTCATCGTTTTACTGTTTAAATGACTACATATAACCGTACATTTTCTTCTAATAGTTTCATTTCTCGCACTCTTGCGTGTGAAACTCGTTTCTGGCTTCTGGCTTCTCTGCCAACTACGATCTTCAATGCAATGTCAATCGCCATTTTCTGTCTTTCTGAATGCTGGTTTTTTTTTATTGTCTTGTCTTCTCTCTAAAGTCTTCTCATTTTACTTCAATCTCAGTAACCCTTTGCTGCTTCGTGTCATTATCGCTTTTCTTGGGAGAGAAATGATTTAAAGACTTAAATCAATAGTTTCTTTTACAAGTAACTGTAAAGTTGATTATCACTAATGATTGGACCCTTAAATTAGCTGTGACTAATTACCTGAAGCTAAAAGAATTATCTCAAGCTAATGCTTTGCGTATAGATGATCATTTGCAATGAGGACAGTGCGCATGCGCGAGTGCGGCCATTAAACTGCTATCGGCTGTACGCTTGAAGAGGCAGACAGTTTGCGGTAAGTAGCCTATCTGCTACAGGGAATCTTTATCTCTGCCGTATTCCTGTCTTCGAACAGTATATAGGTAAGCCTAAGGAGTGCCTAGTTCCGTGGATTCCAACCCAGCGACAGCATAGCACTAAAGATGGTGGAATTCAGTGAAATACTGACACCATGTAAAAAAGACCATGTTTCATATCATACCACTGTGGATGCTGAGTATGTGAATATCTTTCGATCAGCAGCTTGTCGACTGCCTTTACTGTTTACTTCTCCGATGTGTTTCTTTCTTCAGGCAGTACAAGGATTAGTTTTGAAGATTTCTTGGTATCGGGGATTCCAATTCTCCCGTCAGTACCTCCTCACTGTACTAATAGGTGTAAATAGCTGCCAGTAGTTGCTGAGAGAATTTTGCAGCTATCTACCTTTATACGGTCGACCGTGTGTTACACAATTTACTGTTACTCTTATGATGTGTATTTATCTCTGAGTAGTATCAATCGTAGTACACTTCTCCACGTTCTGTTATGGATATTTACTTGACCCCCCCTCCCCACTGAGTCAGGTTGTGACACAAGGTCTGTTTTTAAGGTGGGGACCCGAGTATTTTCACTCGGGCCGCTGGTCCAAGCTGGTCTTAGCTGGTCGTAGCTTGTCCAAGCTGGTCAGAGCTGGTCTAAGCTCGTCCTAGCTGGTCCCGGCCGGAGCCGTTCCAAGCTAGTCGTAGCCGTAATACCACCAGCCCAGGGACGAGCCCTGTGCCAGGTAAGTAGATATTTACTTGACCCCCCCCCATTGAGTCAAGTTGTGACACAAGGTCAGTTTTTAACGTGGGGACCCGAATGTTTTCACTCGGGCCGCTGGTCCAAGATGGTCTTAGCTGGTCGTAGCTTTTCCAAGCTGGTCTAAGCTCGTCATAGCTGGTCTTGGCTTGTCCTAACTGGTCCAGGCCGGAGCCGGTGCAAGCTAGTCGTAGCCGTAATACCACCAGCCCAGGGACGAGCCCTGTGCCAGGTAAGTATGTCCACGCTCTGTTATGTTTAGCAAACGGTTTCGCTGACTAACGTCTTGTCCACCCTCTGCTCTTTATTTATGCTGCCATTCTCATTTGCATATACATATTGTTCCTTCCTTTATTTGCATATACATATTGTTCCTTCCATTATCGAACTTGTAATACAAACGATATCTCAAATAGTGATATTTTCAGTCTTTTGAACACGAACAGAGGTTTGTCCCTTGCGTATTGTTTAGGATTTGGGTTTCTGATTCTTTCTAAAGTCTTTCTCTATCATTCCCAATAGCCCTTGCATTTTAGTAGATTTATCACCTTGCTTGGGGCGAACTGGTTAAAAAAAAGTAAGCTTAATATAGTATGATTATCGTAATCACTGGCGAGGCTTGGAATCATTAGCAATGGTCTGCAAGACTGGATTGTCTACTATTAATCTGATAGCTATCTTGGTATAGTACATTCGCATTGTGTGACTTGGTCAGTCAACAAAACCCCACGTTATTTGGCCATTTCGAAGCAAAGTGAAATTGCCAAACTTTTCAAGTCTTCTTCGGTAAAATCCTTTAAAGCCATTTAGCACTTCGACTTTACATTTGTTACTTTCTTTGATTTGTCTTCTTCAGTGTCGGCTTCTATTTACACTTCCCTCACCTGTCGGAATGGTCAGACCCTTCAATGAAAATGTCACCAAATGTTCCATTGTGTTCCTTATTTCCTTCCTTATATTGCTTTCTTGCGTCGGGGACTGCTAGCAAGAAACACGAGAAGATTTTGCCCTTGAAATCCTTCCCTAGCATCGAAGTCTAGATTTATTGGCGGCAACAAGAAATAGGCAAAGTCAATAAACAGCGGAGATGGCTCGAAAATAAAATTAAGCCGCCATAAAACGCGATACCACACGAGCGGAGGGAAGTGAAGGGAAGCTGCCTTGTAAGGTCGAAGTCGAGAGACGCCATTAATTTCATTTTATAGACAAAGTGTAGAAAGTATGACTCTCTTTCTCTGTCTCTCTCTCTCTCTCTCTCGACGTCCGTGTCGCTGCATACAACGAGAACTGTTTCTCAATCCTTGGTACATCAACATATATCTATCGGCATCTTAGCTTCTAGAAAGAGTATAATTAAAGGACGCTTTTTCTCATATCTATCTATCTATCTATCTATCTATCTATCTATCTATCTATCTATCTATCTAATTCTGCTTCTATCTATCCGTGTGTATTCCTTCCTTGTTATCTATCTATCTATCTATCTATCTATCTATCTATCTATCTATCTATCTATCTATCTATCTATCCTTCATCTTTTTCTGCCTCTCTCTCTCTGTTCGTTGTTGTGTATCTATCTATCTATCTATCTATCTATCTATCTATCTATCTATCTATCTATCCAATTCTGCTTCTGTCTATACGTGTGTATTCCTTCCTCCTTATCTATCTATCTATCTATCTATCTATCTATCTATCTATCTATCTATCTATCTTCATCTTTTTCTGCCTCTCTCTCTCTCTCCGTTGTTGTGTATCTTTGTTCATATCTATCTATCTATCTATCTATCTATCTATCTATCTGTCTGTTGTCATCTCTATCTAGCCTTAGATCGCTTTCTCTCTTTTTCTGTCCCTCTCTCTCTTTCTCTCACTCTCTCTCTCTCTCTACACACACACACACACACACACACACACATATATATATATATATATATTTCTGTTTCTATCACTATTTGTCCTTCCTCCTATTTCTATATCTCTCCCTTTCTTTGTCAGTATTATCTCTCTTTCACTCTCTCTCACTTTCACCCTCACTATCGGTCTGTTTCTATCTCTGTATGTCCTTTTCGCTCTCACTCTCTGCCATCCTGGTTCGCTCTATTTTCTAACTCAGATTGTTCCTATCTATCTATATCTATCTATCTATCTATCTATCTATCTATATATCTAATTCTGTTTCTATCGATCACAGTCTATTCGTTCCTATCTATCTATCTATCTATCTATCTGTTGTTATCTCTATCTCAGGTCACTCTCTATCTTTTTCTGTTCCTATTTCTATCTGCCCATATCTCTCTATATCTTTGTCCTTTCTCTTATACCTCTTTAATATTCTCTGTCTCTCTCCCACGCTATCGGTCTGTTTCCATATCTATATGTACTTTTCTTTTTCCATCTCTATCATCCTAGTTCTCTCTATTTTTCTATCTAACCCAGATTGTTGTTATCTATCTATCTATCTATCTATCTATCTATCTATCTATCTATGCATTTTATTAAATCGGACAAATGACAGATGACCTGAAGACAATGTATCGCAAGCAATACATTATTTAAATGACCAACGATTCTATTGCAAATGGCATAAATATCCAACTGAGTGTCCTCGGAATTTGCTTCCTGTTCAAAACTCACGAGTTTGCTTCGTTGTTTATAAGATTCAAAGTGATTGGTGCCGCCTCATTGGTTACCTGCATCTAATACACCTTTGCAATTATATACGGGTTAGATCGTAATCATTCTAATAGTTTACACGGATGCCATGTAATGCATAGTAGCTGGTAATCTGACAGTCATAAAAGACAAGAAGTTATTCAATGATATCTCAGTATCAACTGAGTAAGCCAACAAAAGGCATGCATAGTAAGTCATCCTTTGGTGAAATGCAGTTTTAGTCTTATAATTTGGTGATGAGAGAAGGCTCGTCTCCGTCTGGTCAAATCATTTCCAAATCATCGTATTAGTCAATACAAGAAGCAAGAGTCAAAAAAGGAAATGAGTTTGTTGTATACCGCTGATCTATCTATCTATCTATCTATCTATCTATCTATCTATCTATCTGAGTTTTTTCCTTATCTATATCGGTCATATTCAAAGCCACTGAATCTGTTCTCGATGTATTAAAAATTAATTCACACACACACACACACACACACACACACACACACACACACACACACACACATATATATATATATATATATATTTTGTTGTGGTAGGATCCACTTAATTTGTATAGTGGAGTATCGACCATATAAATATGGTGGGTACCGGGAAGAGAGGGAGGAATCAAGAGATTCAACCAGAGACTCTGCCCAACTGCGACTCAGTCAACACATTCTCCAGGAACGGTCTTACCAGGAATATACAAAAGACTATATGTAAATATTGTGTACACTTTCTTGTTTCAATACATTTTGTTCTAAGTACCTTTTGTGTTGCATTATTATTCCATGCATTAGTCAAGTTTCAACATATATATATATATATATATATATATATATATATATATATATATATATATATATATGAACTTAAATTATAGATTAAATCACATAAAATTTGAACACTGGGAATTTAAAACTCACCGCTGTGTTTTTAGTACGTGTCGTGTAACAGAAGATACACCACTTTTAGCAGTATGAAAGCCCATGCAAAACTACTTAGCCAATGAAATATCTGAGATGTCATAATAATATGTACATTTCTAAGTAGAAATTGTTCCATCTTATGAACACGAGTGTAAGATACACTGGCAAGACTTTGTAGTTGTAACTAACTTGCTTTTTAAACACTAAAAACATGGCTAAATTTTTTGCAGACGTAGAGGTGAAAGTTGCTGCTTTGAAGGATAAGATAAATCAACGATAGGTAGCCACTTGGCAGAGAAGGTCCTGAAACTGTGTTTAAACCATCTAAAAGAGGTTTGCTAATATTTTAAAGTCCTAGGCGCCACTCGAGGCAGAGAGTTACCGAGTAAGAGGCATATTTTATGCGAACAAGTAGGGAAGATAACGGCTAACTCTAGACTTGAATAGGTTAAGATTGTAGTGAGTCGGGAATTGGGAATCGGTTCCACAGAGAAATGGTTCTTGGGAAGAAGTCGCTCGAGTAGAACCAATGGAATACGAAGAGAAAGAGCGTCGTTTGCTACAATTTGCGTTGCATGTCGGGTCTTAGCCTTGAATGTTAGAACCGATGGAACTAAAGACTATAGTTCGTCTGAGCACTTTCCATGGAAATAGCGATAGAGCGGTGAGAGGCTTGCGATGTTTCATCTGTGAGATAGGGGTTGTAGGGTGGAAAATAATTCATCACCCACAAGGACGTGGGGACGTCTTCAGACTGTCAGAACTGGAAAGTGAAAACTGGGCATCTCCTGCCCAAATATGGCAACAATACACCATTTCGTGCCTGATCTGGCTCTTGTCAGGTAATTACAGAGAATCGACCACTTATCAACATCTTTTGGATCTAATGGACGAGTTCAACCAGAGGTTTGTGTTGAGTTTAAGGCCTAGTAGTTGATCTGCCTGAGAGAACATCCATTTATCGGGATTGGTGATATTTTAGGCTCCGGTCGGCGATGGTGGAATGTCACTAGTTTGGTTTTAGAGGCATTGAATCTAACCAGTCACTTCCCCACCCCTCCACTGACTTGTTAGAAGTGATCAGCTGCCAGTCTCTGGATATTTAGAATTTTGGAGGTGCACTCATATAACGTTGTATAATCAGCGTCTATATTCACAAATGATCGGAGCACATTTTTAGTCAGATCATTTATGTAAAATAGAAAAAAAAAGCTTGATCCAAAAAGCGACACCCGAGGGAGGTCTGCACTGATTTCTCAAGCACCTGAATACTTACCCGTTAGGAAAGACTTTATAATTGAGAAGTATCTTCCCGTTATTCCATAGCTCGAGGTCTTGTGAGGCAATCCTTAATGCCACACCTTGCCAAAAGCCTTTGAAGTATTTAATGTTATAGTCCTTGGGATGTATTTTTTTGTCTGGTGCCTCGCTGATTCTGTGAATAATGGTAGGATATCAACGGTGAACCGGGCTGAACGAAATCCGTACTGCTTGTCGATCAACAACCTTCTTGATTATAGCCTCAAAAAACTTGCTAATGGCACTGAGGAGACTGATGGGTCTGTACTGAGGGGCAGGATGAGTTCTTTAAAACCGGGCATAGGCTTGACGCCTTTCACAGACTCGGTAAGGATTTCTTCTTCAATAATCGGGGATAGTTCCGGGTTGATATTCTTAAGGACAACTGGGATTTTGTCGAGGAGGGAATGTCCTATGACTTTTAATGTTGAGTTAAAGGCAAAGATCTAGGCGAAGAAATACGCCTTATCTGACGAGGAAGAAATGACCCTTGGGACATTTATAATAGTGGGTACAGACGCTTTGTCTCTATTAAAAATTTGGTTGGCGATCTTCCAGAATTGTCAGCATTCAGTTTGTTTTCAACCTTAACCTTCACGCTGATCACGCATAGCGACACTATTTATTTTCCATTATTTTCTTGCAGCGATTGTGGGCGGTTCTAAATGCAGTAAGAATCAAACTGCATCACTCCTTGTGGTAGATATTGTAGTAGTATTTACGGTGAGCTATAGTTGCAGTGAATTCAGGGGTGAAACAGGGCTGGCTATTCGGATTTTGCTGGAATCTTTCTGGGCTATGAAACTCTCCATTTAAGAAAGGGTCCATTCTGAGCCATGGGCAGCAGTTTTTGAGGCAATATGTTTGAAGAAAGTTGAGAGAGTAGCTTCCGCCATGGAAGATCTGAAGGTGTCCTAGTCTGCATTCGTGTCGCAAAAACTCGTTCTATGAAACGGCAAATCAGGGGATGCCTTTAGTTTGGCATCAGTTTGGACACTTACTAGTCAATGGTCTGACATAGCCATGGAGAGGATAAAACTCCCGCGAAGCATTTTTCAGCAAAGTATGTGAGGAAGAAGTCAAGGAAGATTGTCTGAAGTACTGTCGTGTCAGGAATGTGTGTGGGTTCTTCAACGATCTGTGTTGGTTCATAGGCGATGAAGAAGACTCTACAGTATCTGCCTTCATCTTTTTTTTGGTCCGAGTTGACGAATCACTCTTTGTGGTGAATATTGAAATCACTCACAGATATAAAAGCTAGCGGAAGGAAATTATCAATCCTTTCAGATATTCAATTTCTTTTAATCGATATAACCTCATGCAAGGCATTAAGAGACAAGAGGTTACAAGGTGTGAAAGAATTAGGAACAATAACATTAATAATAAGCGGGAAGAGAAAAAAGTAATCAGGAGGACAGTAGATAGCGATTGACATTGCGTTTACATTTTTACAGATTAAAGTTAGCTGGCAAGCATAGAGCTGGAAGAGGGTTCCACAAGCGAGAAGTGTGAGAAAAGAAACTGTTAGCATACAGTTTACGGCTACATCTCGTCAGCTCAACTGTAAATTGATGGTATCTCGATGCCAGTCTGGTGCTGCGCTTAAATTAAAAAAATTCTAGGTAACATAGCGAAGAGCTCATCCGAACAATTACCATGAAAGTATTTATAGAAAAGACACAGAGAGGCAACCTTACGGCGGTGGGAAAGTGACTGAATCCGAGCCGCCAGATCAGGACTGATAACATTGCTGATTCTTCTTTGGCTCAAGGAGCTCAAGGTAAATAGCAGGAACACCGGACCATATGCGGCAGAAATATTCTAAGTATGGACGAATTGTAGACTTATAGATATGTAAGATAGATTCTGGAGAGAAAAAAAAAATGTCTTGCGCGATATAGTGAACCGATTTTCTTAGCAGCTTAAGTAGCAATGGATTCAATATAGTCTTTCCACTTCATGTCAGTTGAGAACGTTAGCTCGAGAAGGTTCAACGAATCACTTTCCTGGAGGTTAGCATCAGCCATACTGATGAAAGGCATAGGGGGGTCTCTCAGATGATTAATGGAGAAAATTATTATTATTAATCAAACGTGATGACTGATTTGTCACATTGTATTCTTTCAATACTTTCCTTCCATTCATCCGTATTTGATTCCTGGTTGCTTCTGTAGCGTTCTTGGTTCTTGGGCTGAAAATATCCCTGACACATGCTCATTTAAGATTTAGCGATAGAATAATCTAGAATATTTACTGGGAGCAAACAACCCCCACCCGGATAGAAAATTAGCTGAGAAAATAGAAAGAAATAAGGAAGCCCATTGTCATCACATTTATCTCAGCGAGAGTTAGGGTTATTTTAGCAAGACTATTCTGAGAGGAATAGAAGGGAACAGTCTTAATGTTGTGGATTTCGAGATGAAATTCGGTCTCCAATGAATAACAAACGCAAGAATTAAATCTAAGAAATTAAATGTATTTACACAATAATGCAATGAGTAATACTGTTAGTAAATCCAGGAACGTCGGTTAGTCGCAATAATAATCTTACTTATTATAAAACGCAGATTGTGTGTGTGTGTGTGTGTGTCTGTACGTTTATATATTGGATCGGATTTCCTACATTTTTC